GCAGCTGACTTCTGCATAGCACACTCCATACGTTACCTTTTTTGGTACATATAAATATCTGTTCCTTTTTCCAATTAAACATACTTTTGAGCACTTTAATTCCGCCTCGTCTCCCCTATTCGTTTATTCATAACAATGAGTAAATGAATCATTTATGAGTCAGCTGAAACTGAACCTACATATGAACCTACATAGACATATAAGCATTTACATAGGGGGGCGGGGGGGGGGGGGGGGGGGGGGATTTCAGCGTGCGTGAGTGTGGGTGTGTGTGTGTGTGGGTGTATGTGTGTGTGTGTATGTGCGTGTTCACTTTTGGTGTATTGAATAGGTATCTGAGGGTGTTGAAGGTTTTCTTTTATTGACCGGCAGTGAGAGAGGGGAGAAAGAAAAGAGAGAGACTAATAATAATAAATATAATTAAAGCCGCAAGCGGCGTCGAACGGCCCTCGCCGCACAACGCAACCGAGGTGGCGCTGACGCACCATTTTCCTACCGCCCTGACACTGTGCATTTTGAATGCCTATGATCAGTGATTGTGTGTGTCTTTGAAAAGGTAAACCTCCTTCTCCCCATGTAATACTTGACTCAGTCTGTAGGGGGCGCTATTGCTGCAATTTCGTCTTTTACACTTTCAGTTTACCCAACCTCGAGAGTTGAACAATCGATTCAAATTTTGTGCAAATCGGACTTTGTATGTGCAAACGGAAGGCATTTAATGTTGTACAACAGCGCCCCCTACAATTTCAATTTTTCAGTCTTATACCAAAGAACACTAAAATAAAAAACTTGTGGCAAAGTTTGGTGAGTTTTTGTGTTTGTTATGTGGGTCAAATATGAGATCAAACAACATAAAACCTAAATACCTGTATCCCCATGTAAACCTTTACTCAGCCTGTAGGGGGCGATAATGGGCCAATGTCATTGTTCACACAGTCATGTGACCTAGGCCCAGGAGTTGAACAACCGAGTCAAGTTTAGTGCAAATCAGAGTTTGTAAATGTGCTCCTGTTTACACATACAATCTGTGAGTGTGTCCATACAGTCTCCATTGGATAACATGGGAACTTCACACCTCTATATGAAAATAACCACACTTTGGGAGTCTGTCACACTCAGACCGTTTGACAAATTCAAATTCTATATTCAACTATTGATGTTCCATGTGTCGAGACGATGTGGAGCGATTTTCAGCCAAATTAGTGAAACGGCCGAGGCTGGTTTGATGTTTGAGCGAGGTGTACTTTTCAGAGATTAAACAATTTTGCCATAGACACAGACAGGGGAGTGTTGGTCGTCGCCACGGCAACAGGGTAAAAACTAATCATATGTTGTCATTGACTTTTTGAATCCAGATGACAAAACAGAATTATGTGCAAAATTTCAAACATTTTGAAATAACTAAATTTTATTAGGGCGATGTAAATCTTTGACATAGTCTGTAGGGGGCACTAATGAGCCAATTTCAATATTTCCACTTTCAAATGACCTAGACCCTGGAGCTGAACAATGGATAAACATTTTGTGCAAATCCGGCTTTGTTTGTACAAACGGGAACAAATTTACTTTTGTCAAAAATTGAAAAGAAAAGGTCACATTTTGCCGCTCCGCTGCTCGGATAACGTTTAACTGATCCAAATTCTATATTCAATAATTGATGGGACATGTGTTTAGACCATGTGGAGCAATTTTGAGATAAATCTGTGAAACGCCCAAGGAGAAGATAATTTCCAACCAATGTGTGAAAAAGTTCAATTTTCATTTTTCTATTTCCCATTGAAATTAATGAGCTCCCTGTTTGTCAGGGGGCGGAGCCATAATAACTTTTTTTTTCATGTCTTGACCTGAGGAACATGTGTACCGAATTTCGTGGCTCTACGACAAACTTGAGCTCCGACCCCCTCCCATAGGCGCAATGTAAACTGACTTTTGTAGGGGGCGCTGTTCGGGCATTTTTTTAGTCCCATAAAAATAAATGATTTTTCACCGGTTCTGAATTTTGGGAAAAATTTCACAACTTTTCATCAATGTTCAGGGGGTCAAATTAAGGTTCAAAGTGCAGAAGAAAAAAGAACGAAATAAAGCAAACCAAGGAATTTTTTTGGAAAATCTTCGAGCAAAAACAATATAGGTTTCCATAGTAACCTATAAGACAAATGATACGTCGTTTTAAAGCGAACAACGAGGTGAACGCAACTATTGGGTTCTCGGTCACCTCGCCATCATGAGGTCACCCACCCCCCCCATAGGACCCCATTCATTACACTGTATACTACAGCAGGAGCAAAGCCATTCAGTGCCTCCGGCACTGTTTTGTCAGTGTCTGGGCACGCGCCGTCGCGTGCAGGTCACAATTGTGACTTATGATAGTTACAACGAATAATGCCTGCCCAGGCATTATTCGTTGGAAAAGCAATAGGCCCTTACTCCGGTTGGGGCTCGGGCCTAATAATAATAGTAATAACATAGAAGGAGTTGAGGTGCTGTAATCCAAGGGAGGGGGGGGTGGTTGTAATGTTGGTGAAGAGGATAGCAGAGCCATAACTAGGCATATTAATGTTTTTGGTAAGAAAGTAAGTAATCTTTATCCAGGCCAGAGTCACAAAGTAGTTTTTCAATTTTGAGCATCAGTCTTCTCACTCCACACAGAGATGGGAGCGAGGTGGTAGATGATTAGTGTTACTCTTCCAGCAGCATCCCTGCATAATGTGTGATTGTGTGGTGCATTAAAAACAGGTTTGGGATGTTGTGCATTAAAAGCGTATGCTTAAGATGCATGTGGGAAGAGGACTTATTTTTGGTTATTTATGTATTATTTTGTTATTTATTTATTTATTTGTATTAATTATTAAGTCCTTTATTAATTTATTCTTATTCCCTCCTCATCAACATATCACCATAGAATGTATACATATATAAATATATATGACATAAAACAGGGGTACAGTGGTGTAGCAGCAGGGAGAGAGAGAGGTGTGCAAAATACACACGACATAAATAGTGGTAATAGGTAAAGTATATAAGGTTAGCTTATGAGTGGGGTCTGGGATGCGTGGCGTGTATTGTTTGAGGTATGGTTGGGGGATATGTCTTGAAGTGAAATATAATCTGACATTACGTTTTCCCATGTGGAGGTGTGTATGTTGGTTTTGGATTTCCAGTTTATGAGTATTGTTTTTTTTGGCGATAGTTAGCGACATTAGAAGATACTTTGATTTACTCTGATTGATGGGGAATGTGGATATGTCTCCTAAAAGACAGAGGGATGGGGACATTGGGACTGCAGCATTTCTGACACATGGGGCCTCCAAACGGATTATTTCGAGAAGGTAGTTTGGGGATAATGCTGTGCCATGTTTATGCTCTGCTAATGCTGTTTCTCACGTGACTAGGATTTCCACAGACAGGCCTGTTTGTTATTCGTACCTTAGTATTAGGGTTGTCAAATAATGTATTTGTTTAATTTGATTAATCACAATTAATTAATGTCAGTATTTAAACACCATACAAAATGTGAAGACGCATTTTTCATGATTTGAAAGAAAATTATCTGGCCCTTATTTTTCTCTTAGTGTGGTGCACACAACGAAACGCAATCTCCGCAGCAACTTCACTTTGCACAGCGTGGAGCTGAGCAAAGCTCCACTAACCTATGCTTGTGAACATGAGCCACATAAAATCAGTAACATCAGCAGCTTTTTACCATCTAAAAAACATTGCCAGGATTAAAATCATAGTGTCCAAAGCAGACTTGGAGATTCTTATCCATGCATTTGTCTCCAGTAGGTTAGACTACTGCAATGGCCTGCTCACAGGTCTGTCCAAACAGGCTGTAAAACAGCTGCAGTACATTCAAAATGCAGCAGCTCGAGTCCTGACTAGAACCAGGAAGTACGACCATATTAGTCCTGACTAGAACCAGGAAGTACGACCACATTAGTCCAGTCCTCAGGTCCCTGCACTGGCTTCCTGTGGCTCAGAGAATAGACTTTAAAACAGCTCTGCTTGTTAGTCTCTCCATGGCCTCGCACCAAAATATATTAGTGACAGGTTAGTACCATATGAACCAGCCCGGACTCTGAGGAGCACAGGGACTGGCCTCCTGCTGGGACTCTGAGGAGCACAGGGACTGGCCTCTTGCTGGTGCCTAGAGTGAGAACTAAACATGGGGAGGCTGCATTTCAGATCCATGCAGCTAAAATCTGGAACAGCCTCTCTGAAAATGTTCAAATCCAGGTTAAAGACTGTTCTGTTTGCCTGTGCATACAACTGAAGGATTTTATCTCCATTTTTAATGCACTGTGGTTATTTTTTTATTTTTTTATACCTTGTGTAATTTTAAAGTTTTAATGGTTTTGATTTTTTGTGTGATTTTAATGTTTTCATTGTGATTCTGGTGTTTGTTTTATGTGATGATTTGTGGCTTGGGTGATGTGGACTGTGAAGCGCTTTGTGTTGCCCTGTGTATGAAAGGCGCTATACAAATAAACTTTGATTGATTGATGATACTTTAAACCCACTCGTCCACGTGAGACAGAAAGTTATCAGAGTTTTTAGGGAAGCCTCCATACGGGAATATTGGAAGACCACTGACCAGGAGATAAATTGATGAATATGTCATGTCATAATCAATGATAAATGTGACATTTTGTTTGATTCATCACAGTTAACCTGCCAAGTTTATAGCTCTACCTATTATATTGATATTCTCATTTTTTGGGTTATCAACTATTTTATTATTTACTATTGCAACATACATGCCAAAGAAAAAAATCCTGTGCACTGACAATGGCATGTGGCTTTGATATTCAGGCTTAGCATGCTGTGAAATGGAGTGGACACAGTATTGTCCGATTCAGACTCATTTGTGAATGATATCTGATGGAGAAGGGTCCAATAAGCATTTACACTGAGATTTTTTATATTTTTAGGTTGAACCCATGAAAAATGGGGGTTGGATTTATTTTTGTTTCGTAATAAAAATCCATGGTTTCACCCACCTTGGTGTACAGGAGTTTGCTCCGATAGATGTTTTGAAGATCTTTGTGAATCTCAGGACACAGTGTATCAACATGAGTACCGATAGCAATCTGGGGAATGCCTGGAATCATTCACAAAAATAATCATCACTCATCATACATGTATCTAAAACTTTAATTCAAATACATTATAGTTAAATGATACCCAAGTCATGCGCAGTCTGCCTGATCTTCTCCATTTTATCGATGATAGTGGGGTCAATGTCTGAACAGTCGGCAGACAGCATGAGGACCAGAACATGCACTTTGTCATTAATTGTAGGATTTTTGTTGTAACCATGGTCTTTGTCAGTGAGTGGAGACATTGGATTAAACTAGAACAGATCATATATACACAAACATATGAAGAAACACAAAGGTGTGTTTTAGTGATTTCAAACAGATTTTAGTGATCCTGTCTAATTACCTTGTAACCCTCCTTAACATGGCCTTTCAGGACCATTACAATGTCATCAGGATGCATGCCCAGTCTGTCTCCTCCTTCCATCCCCATCACATCGTTGAAGACAAATGGATATGGTTCATCAGAATATCCTCCATCTTTGAAAATGTTGTGTGTGGTATACTGAAAAAACAAAAAATAATGTTCCCTAATTGTTCCAACAGTAATTAAAAAGAAAAATGATAAACTCTATACCTTGAGAGTGTGGCTTCTAGAGGATGCGTCTGTTGTATGAGCCTCTGCCCCAATATAGATTCTCTCATACAGAGCACTGGCGGCTGAGTTGATGAAGCTCGACTTCCCAGCTCCGACCGGGCCATACACCAGCACACGCAGGTGTTTCTCTCCATGCTTTGGGGTGTACCTATTTATCTCCTCCAGAAGTTTCTTCTTGTTGCTAGATATGAGGACTTATATAAGAATAAAAGATACCAGTGCCGTGAAGTAACCCTAACTATAAACACTGGCAATGGAAATAAACTGGATCAGGTCATACCTAAGTGTGTGAGAGTTAAAAACACCGTGTCTCCACTGGAAGATTACACCACGGGAGTGCCGCAGGACTCCCCTAATGCTAACACATTCATGTATGACGATGATACCGTACTCTTTGTTCATGGGAAAAATTAATATGAAGTAAAAAATACCTAACCATCCAAATTCAGATGGTGGCTGACTGGCTCTTTTAAAACTGTCTAACACTAAATACAGAGACATTTAAATTGAACTAAACACCTAAATTACCCAACAAATCAAAAAAACTTAAATAATATCAAACGTTTGATCAATAGATCTACTTGGGCGTCAGCCTCAACTCCACTTGATTAATATTAATCAATATATGAAGGTGCATTAAAAATACATACAAATACAAACCCAAACAATACCATCACTGCCCAATCTTAACAAAATACAAATATCTTAACCTTAAAAAAAACATTTGTGAACAGCAGTTTTAAACTCTGCTTTCTAAGTTTCAAGGTTGTTTTGAAACATTTGATTATATAGAAAGTCTATGTTTGGGGAAGTTGCCCTGATGGCAGGCAAACAGCCACCCCAACTGCCAGTGTAGCTTTTCGCCCCTGACGCTCTTCCCTACTTCGACCCCATAGACTGTAAATATTAACGGACGTAGTCATGCCTATCTCCGCCGTTGGAACTAATGTGCTTTTGCCTTCTGTGGGCTGAAAAAACGCTGTTGTGCATGCATTAGCCTGCATGATCCCCTTTCATTCAACAAGTGCATTCAAAAGTCCACAACGGCAAAAACTAGGTTGGTCCAAAAAAAAGTACTCCCCTCAGCATTGACACGCAGCTGGAATGTAGTGTTGGGCCAAGAGCCTACTTTTGGACCATCCTGTAAAGCCGTTTTCAAAAGGAGAAAAGAGAGAAAAAGGGCGGCATCCAAAAGTATTGGGTAATTCTTTTTCCAGGTGCACCCCCACCTGCTAGGAGTGAGATTGCAAGCATATGAGCGCACATGCTCATGGACCTTTTTGAGCCAGGACCTGATCCCACTGTCCCCCCCCATATTTGATGCTTGAGATGGTGTACTGAGTGTGATGAGTAGTGTTAGTTTTGAGCCAATCATAACATTTGCATTTGGGCCAAAATGTTAGATTTTGGTCTCATCTGACAACAGTGCTGGCTTTCCATTTTCAAACTGACTGTGGACCCATCTACTTTTTGTTTTCCCATTGAGGTTAAACTTTAAATATAATGAGAATACACTCTTCTGTATGCATGTTGAACAGCCCAGAGGCTGCTGCCTACCATCGATGATGTTTGGGCAAAACATGTTCTATTGTAAAACCTCACCACCCAATCCTAATCCTATTGGAACAGGTAATCCAGCATTTACGGTAGAGGACTCAAGCAGGGAGTGGATTGTTAGTTAATATTGACCCCTGCTCCTTCACCTGCGGCTGTGGTACACAAGAACATTGTTTTTAAGGACTTTCAAGACAATACAATAAACATGGCAGTTACATAGTGCAGGCAAGTCCGGTCAATACATACACTACATTAGATAAGAAAAGGTGTGTGTTTGAATGTGTCCATATGTGTGAACTGCTTACTTCCAGTCAATTCCCCTCCACGGCTGGTCCAACACTGAGAAGGTAGAACAAAATGAAAGTTATTAAAAAGTTCCAAAGCAAATATGGAGCCTATGCAGGCCAAAAACTAAACACTTAGCAAGTCATTTTTTTTAGAATAGACAAAAACAAAAACCAAACAACTAATGTTCTAACACTCTCACAACCCCACTCCCATCCCCTGTCTGTTGTCAGATCAGATTCAGATTCATTGTATTCCCATTTGCAGTAAAAACACCACATTGGAATATATTAGTAAAAGTCTCCAGTGTGCACAGACAAATACAGACATAAAACAACATTAAAAGACAGAAATAAAACAAATAAAACAGTAAACACATGTCACTGTGAAATCGATCGACTAAAACAGTTTCAAAACAAGTGCAAATCATTAAAGTGCTCTGTTCACACTGATAACAGCTTGTGGATAAAAACTGTTAGCGTAACGAGATGTCCTGCATCTCAGAGAGCGATATCTTCTGCCAGAGGGAAGAAGCTGGAACATGGCTTTCCCAGGGTGGCCAGAAGAGTCATTGACAATCCTAAGAGCTTTGTTTAAAAGTCTGGATTTATAAAGAACCTCCAGAACAGGAAGCTCACAGTCCTCTTTGCAGAGCGGAGCACCTTGTTTAAAGCTCTCTTTTCTTTATCTGTGATGTTTCCAAACCACACAGACACAGAACCAACAAGTAAACTCTCAATGGTGCAGCGATAAAAGTTAAGCAGAATCTTAGAGTTAGTGGTAAATTCTCTACGTTTTCGCAGAAAGTAGAGACGCTGACGAGCTTTCTTAACGACTCGGTGTTTTTAACCCATTTCAGGTTAGACAGAGTTAAACCCAGAAACTTGCTCCTCTACGATCTGCACCTGGGAGTTGTCGATTACGACGGGCAAATGAGAACTATTGCGACTGAAATCGTGACCAGTTCACATGTTTTTGATGCGTTCAACTGGAGGTTGTTAGTTTGACTCCACTGAACCACATTTTGTATCTCTGCTCTATAAGAGGATTCATCATTGTCACTGATGAGACCGATAATGGAGGTGTCATCAGCATATTTAATGATCAAGTTTGAGTCAGAGGAGGACACACAATCGTGAGTGTACAAAGTAAAAAGCAAAGGACTCAAAATACATCCCTGAGGAGAACCAGTGCTCACAGAAACAACATCAGAAAAACAGTCATTGATTTTTACTCTCTGAGATCTGTCAGTTAAAAAGCTATAGATCCATTTACACATGGCAACACTTAAACCGAGAGACATGAGCTTTTCAATCAGTTTACCTGGGACAAGGCAGTTAAAAGCAGAGCTATAATCGATGAAAAGCATTCTCGCGACAGATTTACTAGTGTCCAAGTGACTGTAGACAGAGTTCAGAGCAAAGGAGATGGCATCCTCCACACTCCTGTTCTGTCTGTAGCAAACTGGAGCGGGTCAACACTCACAGGGATCTGGCTCTTAATGAAGTCCAGCACAAGCCGCTCAAAAGTTTTCATAAGAACAGACGTGAGGGCCACAGGACGATAGTCATTCAGGCATGTCACAGGAGTTTTCTTAGGAACTGGAATGATGGTCGACTCTTTAAAGCAGTTCGGCACAGTACAGTTCCTTAGCGACAGGTTGAAAATGTCTGTTAGCACAGGGGCAAGTTGCTCAGAGCACAGCTTCAGGACACGAGGAGGGATGCCGTCCGGGCCTGGGGCTTTCCGGACTGTGGTCCTGGACAAGACACGCCTGACTTCCTCCTGAGTCACGGTGAAGGCATCTTGATTGATACACTCAGGGAATACAGTAGGACAGGCATCAGCGGATTCAAAGCGACAGTAGAACGTGTTCAGCTCGTTTGGCAGAGCTTGGCCGACAGATTTTCCCAGCACTAGGTTTCCACGATGTGATGGCTTTAATACCGTTCCACATGCGCCGAGGGTCATCTTCCTCAAAATAACTCTTTAACCTGTCCCCGTAACTGCGCTTTGCAGATTTAATCACCGTGTGGTTCGCTGGAGCCACAGTCAGGGACAAACAGAGACTACAGCGCATTGTGCGCTCTGCAGAGGAAGTGATCGGCCGCAGCCTTCCATCGCTGCAGGACCTGTACGTCGCCCGAGCTCGAGGCCGGGCTGGTCGTATCACAGCCGACCCCTCTCACCCTGCACATGGACTATTCCAACCACTCCCCTCAGGCAGGAGGCTGCGGTCCATCAGGACTAGAACCTCCCGCCACAAGAACAGTTTCTTCCCCTCTGCTGTTGGACTCTTGAACACTTCTTAACCTGTCCCCCCGCCCTTTATAAAGTCACTTTACTGCCCATCATACGTCACTTTACTTCACTGTACTGCTGTCACCTTACATTGTGTGCACCATGTGCACTTGTATATTGTAAATAGTAACTGTAACTCTATTTTAAATTTAAATTTATTCTTTAGAAGTGTTTTTTATTCTTATTTTTATTATCTCTTTCTGACTGTTGCACTGAGCCAAAGCAATTTCCAAGTCTGTGACCTCCCGTTACTTACGTTGGCAATAAAAATGATTCTGATTCTGATTCTGATTCTGATTAATAGAACGTTTCAATGAGTAACAGGATAGCTTATAAGCAACTGTATCATTTGATTGAAACGCCAACGCACGCTCATGAAGTTTCAGTTTCACTTCCGCGTTCATCCAAGGGTTTTGACTAAAATGTTCTTTAATGACCTTCTGTGGGACACAGCAGTCAATACAGAAGTGTATGTATCCAGACACAGCGTCACAGAATTCATTAAAGTCCTCTGAAACACAGACCAGTCCGCAGCATCGAAACAACCTTGTAGCTTCATGCTAGCCTCCTCAGACCAACACTGCACAGTGCGAGAGGTTGGTTTATGTTCCCTGCTCCTCTGAGTATACGAAGGAAGAAGGAGAACAGAGGAGTGGTCAGACTTTCCAAAAGGAGGTCTGAGACTGGACCTGTAAGCTCCCTTCACGTTACTGTAGCAGTGATCCAGAACATGTGCTCCTCTTGTAGCTTGAGTCACGTGTTGGTAAAAGTTTGGGAGTACAGTCTTTAAATTACATTTATTGAAATCACCAGCAACAATGATGACTGCGTTAGGATGAGCAGACTCATGTTTGTGAAGGATCTGGCTCAGATCCTGTAGGGCTACTTGAATGTAAACAGCACATAAAACTATCACTGAAAACTCATGGGGAAGATAAAAAGGGCGGCAGCTCAAGACCAGGCATTCCAGATTGGCAGTACATGTTTGGTTCACGATTCGAGTGTCCGTGCACCAGCGCTGATTAATTAAAAAGCACACACCTCCGCCTCTGGCCTTGCCCGTGGTCTCCTTCACTCTGTCCGCGCGGTGAGCGGTGAATCCCGGGGGCTGAACAGCAGAGTCCGGGACGTTCGAGTGGAGCCACGTCTCGCTGAGGCAGAACACAGCGCAGTCCCGGGCCTCGCGCTGGCTCTGGACCCAACACAGGAGCTCGTCCGTCTTGTTGGGCAGAGACTGGACGTTGGCCAGGTAGATGGAGGGCAGCGCGGTCCCGGTGTCTGCACCTCCTTCGCCGGCTCGAGGTACCTGGCTCCACACCGCGGAGAGAACGCTGGAGACACCCAGTCCCCTCGCTCTGTGCCGTGCTTCACGAGCCCCTCTAAGTTTATGCACCTCAGTTCGGATAAGACGAGTGACCCGTCACACGCATGGTCCCGAATGTACAGAAGTGTTTCTCGGTCATATTTCACAGCAGCAAGTAACCCACAGACGAAAAACAACAAAACACAGATCGTGCGCACCAGAGCTCTCACTGCGGCGCCATGACACGGCGCCATATTGCTCCTGGAACCCGGGAATTCCCTTAAAAAGAAATGTGTAAAATATCAGATTAAATAATGTGGGGTTAGGTGTCTTGCCCAAGGACACAACGAGGGGAGCCGACCATCAGCTCCCTGATCAAGAAGGCCCAGCAGAGGATGTACTTCCTGCGGCAGCTCAGGAAAGCCAAGCTGCCTGCACAGATGTTGGTGCAGTTCTACACGGCCATCATCGAGTCCATCCTCACCTCCTCCATCACCTCCTCCATCACCTCCTCCATCACCTCCTCCATCACCTCCTCCATCACCGTGTGGTTCTGGAGCCACAGTCAGGGACAAACAGAGACTACAGTGCATTGTGCGCTCTGCAGAGGAAGTGATCGGCCGCAGCCTTCCATCGCTGCAGGACCTGTACGTCGCCCGAGCTCGAGGCCGGGCTGGTCGTATCACAGCCGACCCCTCTCACCTGCACATGGACTATTCCAACCACTCCCCTCTCACCTGCACATGGACTATTCCAACCACCCCCCTCTCACCTGCACATGGACTATTCCAACCACTCCCCTCAGGCAGGAGACTGCGGTCCATCAGGACTAGAACCTCCCGCCACAAGAACAGTTTGTTCCCCTCTGCTGTTGGACTCTTGAACACTTCTTAACCTGTCCCCCTGCCCTTTATAAAGTCACTTTACAGCCCTTTATAAAGTCACTTTACAGCCCTTTATAAAGTCACTTTACTGCCCATCATACGTCACTTTACTTCACTGTACTGCTGTTACCTTACATTGTGTGCACCATGTGCACTTGTATATTGTAAAAAGTAACTGTAACTCTATTTTAAATTTAAATGTATTCCTTAGAAGTGTTTTTTATTCTTTTTTTATTATCTCTTTCTGACTGTTGCACTGAGACAAAGCAATTTCTAAGTCTTTGACTTCCTGTTAATTACGTGGCAATAAAAATGATTCTGATTCTGAACGACAGCAGTCATCAGTGGGAGTTGTGAAGTAGGTCTTGTGGTGGATTCGAACTTGCGACCTTCAGGCCCACAGGCCAATGCTCTCCCAACTGAGCTACTTTAGTGCCCCAATTTTTCACTCACAATGGATACAACCATTGTACAGTTACTAGTCTTGTTATGTTTTTTGTGATGTATCATGTGAAAACAAAAAAATACCACTTTGGACCAGAAAGTTTTAATTCATTTTTTATAAGTAAATATAGGAGTTTAGTCATACTTACGTGACTGGGCTGGAAGGATAAAATATAAACCATTATATAACAAATATTTCAGATTGACATGTCATTGTGATGTGTAATTTGAATAGTTCACTCACGTGGAGGAGCGGGCCCCTCAACTGAAACAAAAAATGATGTATTAGTGTTACATAACAAAAGAACAAAGACAGCAGTAACGGCACTTTGCCCTCAGGCACAATATATATATATATATATATATATATATATATATATATACATATATACATACATACATATATATATATTAGTTATATTAGGGCTGGGACTCGATTAAAAAAATTAATCTAATTAATTAGAGGCTTTGTAATTAATTAATCTCGATTAATTGCATATAAATATTTAAACAGTGAGAAGTAATTTTTTTCACATGGATTTTTAGTTTACCATTGAATAATGACAGAATACAGAAGCTTAAACAACACATGTTCATTGTGGAGGATCAGACGGACTTCTTTCCATTAAATTACGTTTCTGTCATCGCCTCAACACACACTGACCACAACATACACTTTTTAAGCCCAAAATCCACTGCACCCGAAAGGTGAGTACAAAAGCTTATAATACGTTTTTGATGTGTGCATTCGAACTAAAACATTGGTGCTCACACTTTTTCAGCATGCGAGCTACTTAGTCTAAATGATCTACCTACTACAACAATGCAAAACATATATTTATTTCTAAATATATTGAGGACTCTTTATATCTACAATGTATGTTGATGTACATGCAAAACCGCATGATTTATGAAATAATTTGCATTTAAGCACCGCCTCTGGCGGTCATCCAGGATTCATAGAACCGCAGTTACACTCTCGTAACTGCGGTTCTAGAACTTTCGTTCTGTAGCGGCACCTATTGAGAGTGAGGAGTTGTCGTCATAGCACAGAGCCCCTCCCCTCGATAGCGCGGGACCCTCCCCGTCTCCGCCATGTTGGTAGGAACCCAGCGGCAAACCGTTGTAGTTAACTCGGTAGCAAAGGAGGTCATCGCTATTTCTGTTTTACCATGCCTGGAGCTCATTGCTGTGTTAAAAACTGCTCCAGTACCTCACACAATAAGAAAGGAAAACGTAGGAACAACGGTTTACAATTTTTTAGGCTACCAAAATGGATACAACATCAGGGAGCGCAAGTGTCTGACCTGACGAAGAGACGCCGGATGGCTTGGTTGGCTGCAATAAGAAGAAAGGACCTTACTTTGGATCTCACCCCCCAGTCGATGAGAGTGTGTTCTCTGCATTTTCACTCGGGTACGTCCTAAAATGTCTTTATGTTGTTTTTTTAAAGTTAAGAAGTGTAGGTTACCTAGCTGTTAATGTTGCAAACACCGAAGTGCATCTTAAGTTAGCTGCCTAGCTAACTATCTAACAAACTGTTGCCTCTATGAAAATGCTTAATGGCCAACCATTAATGTTAACTAAGAATATTTAAGTTTCTGCGCATTATCCTACCTTGTTGGTGGAATATGGGCACTCAAAGTGCGTTTGTCTCTGTCTCTTACGTTCTCTAAACCAGTGGTGCCCATACTTATTTTTTGTCTTGTGTTGCCACTACCCCCTGAGCCCTTTTATGAAACCATGAATAGCGTTACCTTCTTGTTTAATATTTCTTTAGATTCCAGATTGTTTAATAATCTTATTAATCTGATGTAAGTAAACCATTATAGGAGATTATGAGATTGCTAAAAATAGTTGAGATTCTGTTCATGACATTATGCTACCTTGTTGCCAGTTTAAAGCATTGACTACATAGATTATTCTGTTCTAGGTAAACCATCATATGAGATGTTGGAGAATCACCCTGACTGGACACCATCCTTGCGGTTAGGCCACAATAAAGAAACAGATGGAGCGCGATATCAGCGGCAAGTAAAGCGCAGGACCCAGCATCTGGAGCAGTCATCACTCCCAGCCCAAGCCCAGCAGCCTCCATCACCAGCCCAAGCCCAGCAGCCTCCATCACCAGCCCAAGCCCAGCAGCCTCCATCGCCAGCCCAAGCCCAGCAGCCCCCATCGCCAGCCCAAGCCCAGCAGCCCCCATCGCCAGCCCAAGCCCAGCAGCCCCCATCGCCAGCCCAAGCCCAGCAGCCTCCATCACCAGCCCAAGCCCAGCAGCCCCCATCGCCAGCCCAAGCCCAGCAGCCTCCATCGCCAGCCCAAGCCCAGCAGCCTCCATCGCCAGCCCAAGCCCAGCAGCCCCCATCGCCAGCCCAAGCCCAGCAGCCCCCATCGCCAGCCCAAGCCCAGCAGCCCCCATCGCCAGCCCAAGCCCAGCAGCCCCCATCGCCGGCCCAGCAGCTGCCTCAAGGAAGGATGAGGAAGCTCTCACCCTTCCAGCTTGTCCTATTGACTCTAATGCACCTCAGATTAGGCCTTCCAATCCAGCACCTCAGCCATCTGTTTAGAGTACATCGATGCCTTTCACCATACCCTTGGTGTGATGTACACACAGCTGTGTCCATTAGTGCACTGGCCAAGCAGGGAATGCATATTGACCAGTATGCCACATCAGTTTGTGGAGTCATTTCGGAATAATGTGGCTGCCATTGTGGACTGCTTCGAGGTGTTCATCGAGAAACCCTCAAATGTACTAGCAAGGGCACAGACTTTCTCTCAATACAAACACGCATACACCATGAAATACCTTATTGTGATCACGCCCCAGGGTGTCATTTCCTTCATATCGAATGGGTGGGGTGGGCGCACAAGTGACAAGCATATAACTGAGCAAAGTGGTTTCCTGAACAAACTTTTACCAGATGACATTGTGCTGGCAGATAGGGGCTTTAATATAAGAGAAAGTGTAGGCATGATGTGTGCTGAAGTGAAAATACCTACATTCACAAGGGGTCGTGCACAGCTGGAGGCAAAAGATGTGGAGGAGACTAGGGCCATTGCACATCTCAGAATTCACGTTGAGAGGGTGATTGGTGTTGTGCGCAACAAATTCAAATCCTTACATTCAACTGTACCTGTGCATATGCTTCTCAAATGTGAGGGTGAAAACCTAATGCCTTTAGATAAGATTGTCACTGTTTGCTGTGCCTTAACGAACATGTGCAAAAGTGTTGTTTGAGTGCCTTGTTCATAACTTATGAACCAACCAGAACCCCTCATGTCATCTGGATCCGAGTCCAGAGTCAGAACCAGACACGGAGAAGCTGCATTCAGCTTCTATGCTCCACATGTCTGGAACAAACTCCCAGAAAGCCTCAGATCAGCTGAAACACTGTTTGTTTACATCCAGGTTAAAGACCCACCTGTTCTCAGCTGCTTTTGAATATTTTTTATTCTAATGTACAAATCTGCACGGCTTCTTTTAAGCTGGAATTACTTGTCTGTTATCTTTTTCTTATGATTTTTTGTTTTTAATTTTAAATCATGCTTTTTATTCTGTTACTTTTTAATGCTTCTTCTGCACCCAGCTGTAATGCTTTTTATTTTTTTTATTTAAAGTACTTTGAATTGTTTTGTAACATGAATTGTGCTGTACAAATAAACTTTCCTTGCCTTTTTAATTTCTTTGAAATAAATGTTTGAAACTTCATGTGGCAAAGCAATATTTATTGAGAAATTAACATTTTTTTGGAGGGGGGGTGTAATCTCTTGGAAAAGTTAACAGTGCAAAAGAACGTGTGCAGTCAACGTATAAATATTTCAGCATGAAAAGACGGACAACATAATAATAACATAGTAACACTGCTGATAGTGCAAAAGAACCAAACATACCAACAAAAAAACACTTTGGCTCAGGAAAAGAACGTGTGTAAAAGTATAAATATTTCCAGCATGTAAACATAAACAACATAAGTAATAATAATACTGTTATTAAAACAAACAACATCCAAACAATAAAAAAATTGGGGTTTTTTTTGTATGTTTTTTGTTCTTTTGCACTAATTATAGTATTTCATTATTATGTTGTTTATGTTTACATGCTGGAAATATTTATACTTTGAATGCACACGTTCTTTTCTTAAGCTGAATAGTGGCACTATTTGGCTTAAGAAAAGAACGTGTGCTGTCAACGTATAAATATTTCAGCATGAAAAGATGGACAACATAATAAAATAGTAATACTGCTGTTAGAGCAAGTACAACGGTGTTTTCACCGCCTGGAGGCTTTAGATGGCCAAGTCCTGCACCCAACCACAGCAGAAAGCCTCGTAACTCTCCAGTGACTTGTGACTTCTAAACTTCTGCATTGTATAACAACTAACACCGAAAACAAGGTAATTCACTATATCCATGTACGTGCACGGAGGCAAAAAGTCAAGGTCTTTTTGCCACTCCGCTGCAGGAAGCTCGTATGGGTCTACCTGTTGTATGTCTGAGAGCTTCTCCAAATAACGTTGTTTTGCTTTTCCCTGTACGGTCCATTTCCTTTCGCCTTCACTTTCTCCATTAACTGTCTTGCTAGTGTTGTAATCGTAGATGTATCTACTGCCGAAATAATAAACGCGCTCAAGTTAAAGACCTCTGGAGCGTTAGCATAGACTGTATATATTGAGCGTTAGTGGCGTTGCCCCTGGCAACCGATAGAGGATCCTATCAACATGGCCGACCGGATTAGACCCCGCCCAAATTATCACGTGACTCCTCATTCTCAATAGTCATAGTAGAAACTCAGGGTGAAGACGTGTTATTATAGATCCATGGTGAAGACATATGTTTACAAGCATTGACCCCAGTCCTCAGCCCTGGTTTGATCCTGGTTTAGCTCCTGTTTTTTTGCCTGTTCACTTTGCTGCTCTCTGATGAGGATGTTTGCTGCTGTGAACCGCTGCAGCAGAGAACAGTTTTTAAGAAGTGATGGGAATAACGGCGTTACTAGTAACGGCGTTACTAACGGCGTTACTTTTTTCAGTAACGAGTAATCTAACTAGTTACTTTGACTGTAACTATAAGGCCGTTATAATTTCCGACATCCCGTTACTGCGCGTTACTCAAGACGCACAATGAACTTCTCTTTTTACTTCGTGATAGGACTCGTGCGCGTGTTGTCATGAGAGAAGGGAGGATGAGAAAACCTCTCAGATGTTATTGGCTGATGTAAAACATATTTCCTTTACAATCTACATGTCTACAGTTGAGAGGATG